TTGTATCCCAAAAACTCATTTTGGAATTAGGAAAGGACACCGTCTTTCTACCAGTCAGTTGTGTTGCTGTGGCCATGCCACACTTTCTTTAGAATTCAGTTTCCTCCTCGTCCCACGAAAGGAAAGGAGTGGATAGTTCCTGTCCAAGATCTTTTTTCCTCCTCTGAGTTTCATAACTTTAAAAACCAGTTTGAGCAACAATTTGGATTTTCTACTATGCTTAAAGTATTTTCCCAATGCTTCACATCCAGGGAAAGCGTTCCTTGCCTCATCAGAGCAGGCCAAGGGCATAAATGGGTCAGCACCGGCAGTCAGATAAACTATTTCTCCACAAGTCATTCACAAAATATACAATAATCTGTGTATCACCTGAGATGTGGACAACTGCAGGAAAACTCAGCCATAGAGACTCCCCCAAGTTCAGCAACAATTGGCTATTGCTCCTTGTACTAATAGCTTATTTCCATGATATCTATGAGCAGAGTGGTATCTATCTATTTTTCCAGAAAGGAATCAAAAAATTCTCAAACGGTATTGAGAAATGATGCAGTGGTCACATTGGGAAAGAAACCAACCAAGATCTGACAACCAACACTGTTGAACACCACTCTCCTTGGGCAGCTAGTCACAGAAAGGTCAGACTCCTCTTGATGCTTGGTACACCAGTGTCACAGACACTTAAGTTATGAAGAAGGGATATGACATTGCTTCTGGTTTCTGTAACTCAAAATGCATTCAGCCAAAAGCTAACTTTGAAGGGTAAAAGCATACAGCTGTATAGATTGGAATTTAGGATTAACAAGAGAACACTGGGATGTTGCTTTAGCTCCCAGTGCCAGGAGTCCCAAGACTGTGTGGATCCCAGACACTAGATGTCGAGTTATTTATACTGTTGGACTTTGGTCTTGCTTGGTTCAGATTGTTACTGTGCCCTGGTTCTTCTTTCTCAAAGTGAGAAGGTATTTAATTTAATTTTGATTTTTACAGGCGTCCACAGCTGAAAGATTTTGGATTCTTTAAGGAGATTGGATATTTTAGAGAGACTGGAGTTTTAATGTGTTTGAATTTGTAAGGACTGTGAGACTTTTAAAGTTATTTATGTTTTTATATTGTGATTAATATTAATGTTCTATCTTGGGGATGAATGAGAAAGGAAAGGTTCTAATTGAAGTGATGGTTTGTGTGTGGGGTTCACAAGGGGTCAGTTTTACTGGCTAATTCTATGTTAATTTGACACAAGCTAAAGTCATCAAAGAGGAGGGAGTCTCAATTGAGAAGATGCCTCCTTAAGAGCAGGTTATGGGGAATCGTCTCAATTAGTGATTGATGGGGGAGTGCCCCACCCATTGTGGGTGGTTCCATTCCTGGACTGGTGGTTCTGGGATCTATAAGAAAGCAGTCTCAGCAAACCTTGAGGAGCAAACCAGTAAGCAGCACCCCTCCATGGCCCCTGCAGCAGCTCCAGGTTCATGCACCACTGGAGCTCCTGCCCTGATTTCCTTCAATGATGAACAATGATATTAACCCAAATAAACCCTTTCCTCCCCAACTTGCTTTTTGGTGATGGTGTTTCATTGAAGCAAAAATAACCCTAACTAAGACATCCACCAAAACCACTTCCTCCAAAAGATAAGTTTTCATTTAAATTTTCTTCTAGTTACCTTTCATATGAATGCAAATTTTAATGAAATTATAAATATGCAAATTATTGTTTGAAATTTTTTTTGGTTTGTGCACACACATATGCACGTGTGTGTATGTCTCCTCACGTGTGCAGGCGCTACAGATGCCAGAAGGTGTTGGATTCCCTGGAGCTGGAAATACAATTGTGAGGTGCCTGGTGTGGGTGCTAGGAACCAACCTTGGTCCTGTGGAAGAGCAGTCTGTGCTCCTAACTGCTGAGCCTCTTCTACAACTCTGCAAATGATTTTTAACAGTCTACCTTTCATTGGTAGCACAGGTGTTTGCCCACATTGCTTTTGTTGATTATTTTCATCTTAATTAGTACAAGAATTAATGTTAAAAAAGCCAAGGGCTATAAATAACTTACATGCCATTTCCTTCTGAATGAGTATGGCAAGTGCTTTCCATTTTTCCCCTAAAGTAACACAGGCAAATAACATTCGTAACTCTCAGCTCTCTGTACTTTGCTTCATTTGATTCTCCTGAAACCTGGCACAGATGGCTGCTTTGTTGCCGTCTCACCCTTTACAGTGTGTCCCTTTCTTTGATCTCACTGTTACCACCTGACAGAAGCAGCTTGAGAGGAGAAGCTAATGTTGGTCCACTGTTCTAGACAGTACAGTCCATCCATAGCGGGAAAGACATCCTTGGGGGTGGGAGCTTGTTGCTCAGATTTATGCCTCAGTGTTTCAGGAAGCCAAGAGCTAGGGCAGGGATTTAAAATGGGTGTCACCTTTTTGTTCGTTTGTTTGTTTTGTTTGAGACAGGGTTTCTCTGTAGCTTTGGAGCCTGTCCTGGAACTGGCTCTGTAGGCCAGCCTGGCCTTGAACTCACAGAGATCTACCTGCCTCTGCCTCCCAAGTGCTGGGATTAAAGGCATGGGCCACCAACACCTGGCAAGTTGGAAGAATGGGGGAGGTGAGAGGGAGTTAGGAGAAAGAGAAGGGGAGAAGAGGAGGGGAGAGGAGGACATGAGGGAGCAGGAAGATTGAGTCGGGGGAAGAATAGAGGAGAACAAGAAAAGAGATACCGTAATAGAGGGAGCCAGTATACGTTTAAAGTGAAATCATCACTAGGGAAATGTCCAGAGATCTACAAGGATGACCCCAACTAACAATCTAAACATTAGAGGAGAGGCTACCTTAAATGCCCTTCCCTGATAATGAGATTGATGACTACTGTATATGCCATCCTAGAGCCTTCATTCAGTAGCTGATGGAAGCAGATGAAGACACCCACAGCTAAACACTGAGCTGAACTCTATATACGTTTAAAGTGAAATCATCACTAGGGAAATGTCCAGAGATCTACAAGGATGACCCCAACTAACAATCTAAACATTAGAGGAGAGGCTACCTTAAATGCCCTTCCCTGATAATGAGATTGATGACTACTGTATATGCCATCCTAGAGCCTTCATTCAGTAGCTGATGGAAGCAGATGAAGACACCCACAGCTAAACACTGAGCTGAACTCTAGAATCCAGTTGCAAAGAAGGAGGAGTGATGAGCAAAGGGGTCAAGGCCAGGCTGGAGAAACCCGCAGAAACAGCTGACCTGAACAAGAGGGAGCTCATGGACCCCAGACTGATAGCTGGGAAACCAGCATAGGACTGTTCTAGACCCCCTGATTGTAGGTGTCAGTTAGGAGGCCTGGGCAATCTATGGAGCCTCTGGCTGTGAATCAGTATTTATCTGAGGTACACGAATGGACTTTGGGAGCCCATTCCACATAGAGGAATACTCTCTCAGCCTAGACACATGGGAGAGGGCCTAGGCCCTCTCCAAATGATATGACAGACTTTGAAGATTCCCCCCCCATGGAAGGCCTTACCCTCTGTGGGGAGCAGAAAGGAGATGGGATAGGGAATTGGTGGGGGGCAGGGGAGGAGGGGAGGGAGAGAGAACTGGGATTGACATGTAAAATAAGCTTGTTTCTAACTTAAATTTTTAAAAAGGAGGGGGAAAAAGAAAATGGGTGTCACTTTCAGGGCCCACCCCAAGCACCCCACTTCTGCTAGCTAGGCTATAGTCTCAAAGGTTCCCCAAGTTCCTCAATCAGTGCCACTAGCTAGGAATCAACTGTTCAAACACACAAGCATGTCCCGAATATTTCAGACGCAAACAGTAACGTGTTGGAGAGTATCAGAGAGATAATAAAGTGGTTGTTGGAAAGCTCCACCCCACCCCACTCCTCCCATTCCAGACCCCACCCCTGAGAAAGCCTGCCATCAGCAGCTCCTCCCCTGAAACTGCTTAAGACCACCTACAGGCTATTTAAGATCTGCAACAGTGCTTTCTCCTGCCTTCCTGTGCGTCACCTGGAAGTGCTCTGCTTTTCTTTGCTCTGTTTATTAAATCTGGGTTTATTAGTTCGGATTGATTTGGCTTATTACATCGGGGGAGGAACCCAATAACCATGGATCCAATACTTATCAGTGATCTGTATTGGAACTCAGAACCTGGTGGCTCAGGGCCTTGACTGGTACCCAGGACTTGCAGGGATGCTAGGTCCCTGTGCTTTGCCTTGTCTCAGGGATGACACATTACTCAGTAACTTCTACTACCAACTAAAACATCCATGTTAACATGTGGGGCTCTCTAGCTTCATGGGTACCGTCCTCCCCAGCTCTCTACATGAGGGAGCTGAAATCCTTTCTCCAAATAGCTCATTCATCATTATCTATAATTGCTCAGCTGAAAGGCATTCCTCTGTGGGTTAACTCCTATGGGTATTTAAGGGGTCCTTCTTAAAAACAGTGTTGTCCACACTGTTGACAACATTGACTTTATGAACAACGTCTGGCTGATCCATATAATAAAGGTTGCATCTCAGCCTTTGATGGTGGCAGCAGACAGTCCAGCAGACATCTGTTGTTTTGTTTGCTGAGCACCCCTCCCCCACTCTCACTGAGTGGAATTGGAGCGCCATTGCTGGGTTACAGGAAAGACAGTTGTGTTTATAATGTGGCCACTGATGGTGATCTTTCTAGTGTCAGGACTGAGTCAGTGGAGTGAGTCCCTTGGAATTGGGACTCACAGGGAAAGCACACACTCTTTTTCCTCAAAGGACAGTTTGGCAGGCCTGATAGAAGGCAGAAACTTAGCTCCTGGGAGATGATTGTTTTGATTTGGATACACTACCAAAAGGCCATGCATGAGAGGCCTCATCTGTAGCTTATGGTAGTTTTATGTTGGGGGTTCTGGAAGCTTTAGCAGGAAGCCTATCTGGAGAACTGGGTCACTGCTAGTGGGGTCCTTGGAGTATCTTATACCTGACCCCTTCTTACTGTTTTCTCTCTGCTTCTCCATCCACAGTTCTTTTCCATCATATGTTCCTGTCACCATGATGTTCTGCCCAACCACATGGACCCAAACAACCATGGACTGAACCCATAAAACCATGAGCCCAAATAAATGTGTCCTTTCAAATTGTCTACATCACTCATCTGCCACAGCAACAAGAAAACCAATATAATCTTTAACACAAGAGGTGAGCTCTGTCCTCAGAAACCTTCAGGGTCCAGACTGAGGACATTTCTAACACTGTTCCAGTCACACATCCCCAGGATGTGTGTGTGCATGCTTAGTGCATCATTTATCCAACAAACACTGATGGACAGCTCACACTGGGGTTCAATGATGAATCTTCTTACTCCAGAAGCTCCCACAGTATCAAGAGCACCGGAGAAGCAGGCAGACACAGCCTGACACAGACTTAAAGCCACAAACAGACTAGACATGACTATCGGTAACCTGAGTGGCAAGGTTGTCCTAGGAACAGAAGGATGTAGAGAGGGTTAGATATGTCTGGAATCATCCCAGGTGGAGAAACATTACTTCTCCAGGAGAACAAGTAGCGATTTTGTTCTCTAGAGAGCTCTTCAGTGCTCATTGGTAAGTATTTGTTAAATGTGCTTCCTTCTGGGTAGCTGGGTATGGGATGCACTGAACACTCGATGAATGAAAAGAGGTCCTTTTGTTTCCTGCATCAGGCTCCATGATGTTAAAGAGAAGAATCAGAAAGAATTATTTCTCTCCTTTTCTCTCGTGTCTTAGCAGAGCACCATGTCGGCCTCCGAGGCAGATGTGGTTAGATGATTAAAGAGGTTATAAAATATTTGTTTTGCTTTGTCTTTTTGTCTTTGTCAGACTGGCCAGCAACAAGGAAAGATCTGTGCCTTGGAAAGCAGTGTGCAGTCTGTTGTTCTGGGGTACGTTCTAGAAGCTGAAATACTAAAATGTACTTAAAAACAAACAGTGCCTACATCATGCCAAAAAGCATCCCAGAGGGTTCACACTGATTACATGACAAAGGAATATTTGGCCAACAAATCAAAGTTGTGTTCTACATGGATGCCAAACATCTGGATATTTGGAGGCAGCTGTTTGGTATCCTGTGGGCCACATAGAAGCATTTTGTATCACTATGGCCAGAGATTGGCTATGTCTGATCTCACCGCTTCAAAGACCCAGTCCCCAGAACATTGTTGATCGAGTGTGGCTTGCTTGGAGGTCAATGTTAATGGGAACTGAATTGCTCCTTGGGATGCAAGCCTAAAGAGTAGGCATGGGGCAGATTTATGAGGGAGACCAAATCTCTTCAATGGTGCACTAGAAAAAGAAAGGAAGTAATGCGGAAAGCAGGGTCAGAACGATGTCTCCTCATGGCCCACACAAGCTACTTTGGTAAGGAGGTTGCATCAACAGCTAACCATACACACTGTGGTTTTCATTATTCACTGAGCCCACAGCACAGAGGCATAGGAAGAGTGGCAATGCAACAGCTAAAGGATCTGAGTAGGGATGGTGACCTCAGCAGGTAAAGTGCTCACCTAGCCTGAACCAAACCACAAGTTCAATCTTTAGCTTTTCAAAAATGGCCATGGTGCCACAGGCTACCTGTAATCCTAGCACTCCAAAGGAGGAGGGAGGCAGGAAGATCTGAAATTCAAGCTACATAGTGAGTTCGAAGCCAGCCTAGGATACACAATCTGAATAGCATTATTGAATAATAACACTAGTGATAATATGTTACTATTATCAAAACAGTACTATGTTGTAATTATAAAATATATTGCTGTACATGACATGAAAATAAAAGTAATAATACTATTATTAGTGATGACCTGGGCTCTGCTCCTAGCTGTACCACCAGGAGTGTCAATGATGGCTCAGACTCTATTGAGACTCAGCGTTGAAATAGGCAAAATGGAGAGTGACCTAACTCTTCTATAGGACTGTGGAGATGCTCAAATATGAAAACTCCTCCCAAACTTGACTGTGACACCAATTTACAGTACCATCCACAGCACTTTATTTCCAGTTTTGCTATCAGGTTAAACTACAAAGCACTAAGTGCTTCAGAGGGTTATCGGAGAACTGGGGTTCCCTGAAAGATAGTGGAAAGCAGGGCACTTACTGGAGAAAAGCCTGAGGTTTGAGGAAAAACATATTTGGGTTTGGACTCTGGCTTTAATGGGAGCCGAGCATCACGGGGCCAGTTACTTCTTGGTTATTCTTGGCCATGCAGCTGCCCCTAGAAATGATTGAGAAGGCTAAGGAGATCTCATTGGCCAAGCACTGTAACTGGTTCAAAGTCAATGGTAAGGTGTCCCCAGTATTTCTCTGAGTGAGCTGGCTACCAAAAAAAAAAAGGGTTCAAGTCGAGGATGATGGAGGGTGGAGCCATGACTCTCCAAGGTGCCAACAGGGTTTTCAGGAGTTTGGAAAAATGACTTCCATACTGCCTTTCCATGCAAAGTTTCTTCCTTCCTTCCTTCCTTCCTTCCTTCCTCCCTCCCTTCCTTCTTTCTTTCTTCTTTTCTTCCTTCCTTCCTTCCTTCCTTCCTTCCTCCCTCCCTTCCTTCTTTCTTTCTTCTTTTCTTCCTTCCTTCCTTCCTTCTTTACTTTCATTCATTCATTCATTCATTCTTTTTCCCCCTTTGACATGGTTTCACTATGTAGCCATGCCTGTCTAGAACTCACAATATGGACCAGGATGACCTCAAACTCCCAGAGATCTGCCTGCCTCTGTCTTTCAAGTTCTGGTATTATAGGCATTGCTACCACACCTGGCTTAGTTTGCTTTTATCTTGTTTTGTTTTAGCTTGGTTCGTGTATGTGTGCAGATGCACAAGTGTGAACATGTGTGTAGAGGCCAGAAGATAACTTTAGGTATCATTTCTTGCCCTGCCCCTTTCTTTCTCCTCAGACAAGGTCTCTCAATGTTCTAGAACTAACCGAGAAGGCTATATTTGCTAGTCTGTGGATGCCAGAGATCCATTTTTCTCTGTTTCCCCAGCACTGGGATTACAAAGGTACACCTACACCCCCTCACACATTTTACTTAGGTCCTGGGGGTCAAACTCAGGCCTTCACACTTGCATGGCAAACACTTTACCATCTGAGCTATGTTCTCAGCTCTCCATCCAAAGTTTCTATGAGCTGCTGACAAAACACATATAATTTCAGGAAAGAAATGAATTTGACTCTGAGAAAAGTCATTTCTTCATGTGCAGGGTGAACAGCTATGCATGAGAGAGTAACATTAAAAACTAGGCACCAAGGTTTTTTATTGGCACAGAAGCCAGACCATTGTTTAACAAAACCCAACACAAACAACTAGCAGCTTGTTCAGGAAGCCCTGGACTTTGAAGTATCAGGGTTTCAACTTCTGCTCTTAGTGACTTGGCCCCAGTACCAGATAAGGGACCACAGGATCTTATTGGCAAGTTGAAGAATGAAAACAGTGACAATGTTTATCAGCAACTGTGCCATTAGCCCTAACTTGGGTTGTAATTGCTGGCAGAACAGATAAAGTCAACTTTGGGGTAGAACTGTCAACGCAAACAAAACAGTATTCTTCCTGGTAAACTCATCCTTTAGGAGAGAATAGGAACATCTCAGCTTTTGTACACTGCATCAGGAAAGGGGGCAGCTTGATGATGGAAACCCAGCCTGGAATGTAGACAGACACATTTTCTTTAGTAAATGTAAAATGTAAATCTCTTTGTTAGTGGCTAAGTGAACTTAAAACTTCTGTAAACACTAGAAACTAACTCTCTCTCCCTCTGCTGTATGACAAAAAATTTCCTGGGGAGACACAACTTGCACACTTACTCACCCCAGATAGGGATCCAATGACAGGCCGAAGTCCAACAGATAGCACCAAAGTCCAACTTAGTGAACCAATGAGTTTTATTGGGGATACTTACAGGAAAGTGAGTGAGGGGTTACTTACAAGAGCAGGAATGTCTCAAAAACAGTTGCATTACCAAAGCCCACCCCAGCATAGGCGACAGCTTGCAAGGCTGGGAACCTGGAGCACAGTGCACAGCCTGCAGGCAGCTCAACAGGTCAGAGAGTGTCCTTCCCAGGTGCCTCAGTTGGTCTAGACTTCTTTGGCAGCTTGGCTGGTCTTCGCTTCTTCCAGACACCTGGTGTGGTCTCAGAGTCTTTGCAGCTTGGCTTGTGTGAGAGTGACCCTCAGCAGCTTTATTAATTATTCTGGGAGAAAGGCTTTGATAATTTGGTCAGTTTCAGGAACTTCCTGAAGCTATTTTGAGTTGCTTACCTCCCTGCTTAAAGAGCTTTCCTGAAAGACAGAATGTTACACCTCTTTCTCTCTTTGTCCCTCTCTTCTCTCTTTCTGTCTCTCTCTCCCTCTCTTGTCTCTCTCTGTCTCTGTTTCTGTACCACTCCCTTTCCATCTCTTTGTCTCTCTCCCTCTATTCTTTCTCTATATCTCTGCCCGTCTCTCCATGTCTTTCTCTCTGTGTATCCATCTCCCTATTTTCTCTATGTCTCTTTCTCTATCTCTATATCTATACCTCTCCATCTCTCTCAGTGTCCCCCTCTCCCTCTGTCTTCCTTCTCTTCCCCTCCCTCTATTCCCCCACCTTTTGTCCCCTGGCAGCGACCCCACCCGGCTTCACTGTAGACTGAGCCCAGGGCTTTGCATATGTATGCCTGGACTCTACCTCTGAGCTTTGTTTGCCTTGAACTCGCTCTCTATATAGCCTAGGCAGACTCTGATCTTGTGATTCTCCTGCCTCAGTCTCCCATGGGGATGGAATTACTGGCATGCACTTGTCTCCATTTAGTCTTGGCTTCTGGCACTCTCGGTACATTGCAAAGCCTTCTCCGTGCCCCACTGGACATGCACCACCATTTCCATGGGACACCAGGAACTTGACCTTTTGTGGATGCTTTCCACCAGACTCTATTGACTGCTGAATCACAGTTGCGCTTGGCCACACCAAGAGTTTAAAAGGTGGGAAGAATGAGGGTAGGTTTATTTCTTCTGACCCTTCCTTTTCACTTCCTCTCAAGTTTCAGATACTAAAGACCTGGGACCTTGGTAGCTGCTGACAGTCCTCTAGTGCCTTATATCTCATATCTCATAATAGGTTCCTTCCTCCTGTTATGAGCAATCCACCAAACAAATAACCCTTAGGGGTGGGGGATATGTCTTGCTGTGGGCTCCGTCTGATACACATGCTTCTTTACAAAGAATTTATAACCAGAAACAACAGTCACTTCAAGGCCCCAAAAGCAAAAGTGTTGCAGGGTAATGATGGTGCACACCTTTAATCCCAGCACTCCGGAGGCAGAAGCAGGAGGATCTCTGAGTTTGATGCCAGCCTGATCTACAGAGTGAGTTCCAGGACTGCCCAGGCTACACAGAGAAATTGTTAAAGCCTCCATTTGTTGAGAAGCTAGAGCCTCTTGAGAGGCCAGAGTTGCTGTTTGGAGTCAGCTCAGGTATTTGGTCACTGTCAGCGGAAAGCTGCCTTCCTGTCCTTGTGGCATAAGAAGGGAGTGCAGTTCTTCGAGGCACAAGGTTCTTCGGTTAATGCAGCATAGCTGGAGTTACCCCAACTAATCCTCCTGCCTCCTGCAATTCTTACCACCTACTCTGAAGTAGCTCATTTTATTAATCCCTGATTTATAGGTGAGAAAGAGGAGGTGGAGAGAGTGAAAGTGCCTCCCAGTGAGCTCTGGAGAATCAGAGCTGGGATTCAAACCCAGATTGTTCTGAATCTAAAGCCTAAACTCACAGAACCCAGAGCACTTTCCCTCTAACCAGCCTCCCTATAGGAATGGGATGATGTCTCT